CTCGTTCAGACTCTGGTACAGACTCTCGTTCAGATTCTGGTTCAGACTCTTGTTCAGACTCTGGTTCAGACTCTGGTACAGACTCTTGTTCAGACTCTGGTACAGACTCCTGTTCAGACTCCGGTTCAGACTCCGGTTCAGACTCTGGTTCAGACTCTGGTTCAGACTCTGGTACAGACTCTGGTTCAGACTCTGGTTCAGACTCTTGTTCAGACTCTGGTTCAGACTCTGGTACAGACTCTTGTTCAGACTCTGGTGCAGACTCTGGTTCAAACTCTTGTTCAAACTCTCGTTCAGACTCTGGTTCAGACTCTGGTTCAGACTCTCGTACAGACTCTTGTTCAGACTCTGGTACAGACTCTGGTACAGACTCTCATTCAGACTCTGGTTCAAACTCTTGTTCAGACACTGGTTCAGACTCTGGTTCAGACTCTGGTTCAGACTCTGGTTCAAACTCTTGTTCAGACTCTGGTACAGACTCTTGTTCAGACTCTCATTCAGACTCTTTCAGACTCTGGTTCAAACTCTTGTTCAGACTCTCGTTCAGACTCTGGTACAGACTCTGGTACAGACTCTCATTCAGACTCTTGTTCAGACTCTGGTACAGACTCTGGTACAGACTCTCGTTCAGACTCTCATTCAGACTCTGGTATAGACTCTTGTTCAGACTCTTGTTCAGACTCTGGTACAGACTCTGGTACAGACTGGTACAAACTCTCATTCTTTTTCAGACTCTGGTACAGACTCTCATTCAGACTCTTGTTCAGACTCTGGTACAGACTCTCGTTCAGACTCTCATTCAGACTCTGGTATAGACTCTTGTTCAGACTCTTGTTCAGACTCTGGTACAGACTCTGGTACAGACTCTCGTTCAGACTCTGGTTCAGACTCTCGTACAGACTCTCGTACAGACTCTCGTTCAGACTCTCATACAGACTCTGGTACAGACTCTGGTTCAGACTCTGGTTCAAACTCTGATACAGACTCTGGTACAGACTCTTGTTCAGACTCTCGTTCAGACTCTCATACAGACTCTCGTACAGACTCTGGTTCAGACTCTGGTACAGACTCTCGTTCAGACTCTGGTACAGACTCTGGTTCAGACTCTGGTACAGACTCTGGTTCAGACTCTGGTACAGACTCTCGTTCAGACTCTCGTTCAGACTCTCGTTCAGACTCTGGTACACTCTTGTTCAGACTCTCGTTCAGACTCTCGTACAGACTCCTGTTCAGACTCTCGTTCAGACTCTCATACAGACTGCTTCAGACTCTCGTACAGACTCTGGTTCAGACTCTCGTACAGACTCTGGTTCAGACTCTGGTACAGACTCTCGTTCAGACTCTGGTTCAGACTCTGGTTCAGACTCTCGTACAGACTCTGCTTCAGACTCTGGTACAGACTCTGGTTCAGACTCTCATTCAAACTCTGGTACAGACTCTCGTACAGACTCTGGTACAGTCTCTGGTTCAGACTCTCATACAGACTCTGCTTCAGACTCTGGTACAGACTCTTGTTCAGACTCTCGTTCAGACTCTGGTTCAGACTCTGGTTCAGGTACGTCAGGGGGGTTTACCTGCGGATCCGGGCCATGGTGGTCTCTGCTACCAGAACAGACTCCTCATCAGGCAGCAGCTGGATGCCGTTTGGGAATCGCAGGTTCTCCATGATGACTGTGACCTCTCTGGTCTCTTTGTCATACTCCAACACTCTATAGTTAGACAGACAACCGAGGCTTTTATTGTGAAACATCATCAACAGGAAGTACTACTTCCTACAAACACAAACTTTCTGTCTGTGTCCAAAACGAGAGGCTGGGTCCTCAGAAGGCCAAATTCATCGGCCGCTTATGTCACAGCGCCGCACCATCAAAAACTGAAGACTCCTCTGATGCTGCCAACAAATGAAACCTTCCTTTGGACCAGACTGAAGGACTGGTCCGATGGTTCCTTCCCGGCCCACCATATCCCATAATGCATTGTGGGTCAACTGGAGATTTATTTACGCTAGTAATGGCGGATGAAGCAAGAGAAAAGAGTACGGTTTAAATAACGATGTGGTGGTATAAAAACTAAAAATTTCCAGCGGTTATTTAATACTTTTATCATTTCTGCAAACACGTTTTTAATACTTTTATCATTTC